ACACACCCACACACGCACACGCGCACGCGCACGCACACGCACGCACACACACACACACACACACGCACACACACACACACCGTGTCATGTTCTATGCAGGGACGGCGTGATGAAGAGGCCGCTGCGGCCGAGGAGCAGGCCGACGACCACGAAGGGGAGCAAGGGGAGGAAGAAGAAGTGGAGGATGATTTGGAGCTGAATCCCGAGACGATGCTACCCAGCTTCAGAGAAGCTCCATCCCACGGTGATGCTTTCATGGAAGATGGTGTTGAGGCCCCGAAGAAGAAGAGACGGGCTGCCAAAGCCAAGGCTGAGCCCAATGAGGATGAGGAAGAGGACGGGGTCCTGGACGGTGGATCCGGTGATCTTCCGCAATGGATGCAGAAGGACACCGTCCTTCAGAAGGTGATCGCCAAGCTTGGCAAGGTGCCGAAGTGCTTCACAACTTTGGATCCGCAGGAGAACTTGGACCCCGCGAAAAGCCCTGTCGGCCGACAGCTGCGAGGGGCCATGCCAGTCCAAAGTATCAGCTTGATGGTTTAGCGGGCAGGGGTTGGTTTAATGATCAGGGTATAGTCCGGTATAGGTTGTAGGATTGTAGGCCGTAGGCGTCGGCTAGTGGCGGCTAGTGACTAGACTAGTGACTAGTAGCGGCTAGCGGGTAGCCGGCTACCATTTGAAGTGCGAAATATAGCAGAGTGTTGAGAGTTTGGAATTGTACATTGTAGAATTGTAGAATCTACATTGTAGAATGTCTAGAGAGTCTCGATTCTAGATTCTCTGAACTCTAGACTCTAGACATACAAGACGGAGAAACAACTGGAGGCTCGAACCATCTTACAGTATATGGAGGGCCAGAACCAGAAAGAAGCGTCTTTGCTGAGTTCACGCTTGCGACTGCTGGAGCATGTCGAGGCCCTGGCACACACCCCAATTGCAGGCATGACTCGGGCAGAGGTCCGGGCCCACGTGTCAGCAGCCGTCGATGAGAGCCTGCAGATTCCAGCGAGCCTGAAAATCAAGCTGCTGGAGAGGTGGGCCAATGACTTGTTCCTTGACATGGCAGAGATGAAAGATGCGAAGAGTGCTGAGTTCAAGAAGGTTTTGGACGCCTACATGCTCACCGTGTGTGCCTTCATTTCCCCACCTGATGGTTTGGAGATCACGGACTTGAACCTCACAGCAGCTGTGCTGTGGGAGTCAGCCAAGGAAGAGGTCGACTACAAAATCCAGTTCGGTTCCGCGACACCGGAAGACCGGGCACAGATGCTTGCCGAGACCCAGCAGGCGACAGATTGAATTGTTTTTCCTCCCCGTAGAAGTCTGTCCGGCAAGTTTCCTCATTCCTCTCGTACCTGGCTATATTATTGTGTAAGTTCCCGCATGTCTGTGCAGAATGCATAGGTCGGCGTAGGTCCTCGGTCCTGGGTCCCAGTCATCATAATTCTAGGTCCTAGATTCTAGGTCATTCTAGCTCCTAGGTGAACAGTCCAAGCCTTGTCTATTGAGTGCCTGCATGTTTTCGGTTTCTTGAGTCCAAGGGAAGTCTTGTTTAAGCTACCCATATATTCCATAGATGCCATAGATTGAACACAACCCCCCATCCTATAACAGCCGAATACTGATTCTGGGTTTCCTACATATGGACCCCCCCCCCCCCCAAACAGCGCAACACTTTGGTGCTGGAGTTTGACCTTTCTTGCCCTCACCCCACCCCACCACCCCACCCCACGCCACCCCCACCCAAAAAATGGGCCCAGGTCCTCTTGTGACTTGTGCCTTGCAACAAGACCATTTTTCGGGCCCAAAACCAGCCCCCCACCCCACCCGACCCCACCCCAGCCCTAAGATTCACCTTTTTAACATATAGGCTGGATTTGTGTTGTGCTTTTTTTGTGCTTTTGTTTGTGGTGACTGCTACAGGGTCGGGGGAGTATTCAAGCCATAGATACCATTATGCCATGGATCGCCCTCTAGATTCTAGGTTGTTTTGGCAGCCCTGAAGTCAGGCAGCTGCCGATGCAGTCATGGAGGGCCTCTTCTGTGACATCTTTGTGCAAATGCTGAAGGATGTCCATCTCCATAAGGACAAGCTCCTGATGATCCTCTCCTGCTATCTGCAGAACTACACGGACGAGGCGAGGGAGCTCATGGACAACAAGGAGGCATTGCAGAGCGTGTGCGACCGCTTCCGGGACGTCGCCTTCGCTTTGGCTGCTTTGCTTTGCCCGGAGCCAAACTACCTCGGGTCCAGCCCCACTCACATCAACGACGTGATGAAGTATCGGGGTTCCAATGTGTTTGAGGCTACCGTCCGAGATCACCTCCTGCGCAAAGGTGACAAGGAGAACCCCAACTTGTGGGCCAAGTGGTACGATGAGTTCTTGTCGAAGGGTGAGGACACATCGAAGCTTTGGCCCAAGCTCCTGGAAGCTATGGAGAGCTTGGACGGCATGATGGCTGAGGACGAGATCTTGACCATTGATGTTGCGAGGTTGGTGACCATCGTGCAGGAGCTCCCGGAGATGAAGAAGTCTATGAGGCCTGGTGTGTGCAGGGATGCATTCCAGAAGTTGCTGCCAGTGCTCAAGAAGTTCGTGACTGCATTGGTGAAGGCAAAGCCAGGCGAGATCGGCTTGGGAACGTCGGCTGTGACTGCCTTGCAAGCCGGTGTCGCCTTGTTCCCAGAGGATACTTCCATGACAAGGCTCGGTGAGCACATGCAGAAGTTCCGCAAGAACTCGGAGAAGGAGATTGCTGTCACAGAACTTCTTAACATTTGCAAGAGCTACCCGACGGACTTTCAGGCGCCCATGCAAGGCAACATCGCGCCGTTCCTCGATGCCTGGAAAGCTTGCCCAGTGGACATGAAGAATGCCCTGCAAGGTCGCGATTTGGATGTGCTCAACAGCGCCATCTGTTGGATCTACCGTGTTGTCGCCGACCTCTTTCGGGCAACACGGCTGCCGTGCTAAAGGTAAGTAGTACTAGTTAGTCCTAGTCCCAGTCGCTACATACTGACATACTGTTATATACTTCTCACCCCCCAAATCTTAGCTTATGACTTTGTCGGGTCACTAGTTACACACTAGTTACCACTAGTTCACTAGCTGTCACTAGCTAGTCACTAGCTGCTCGTCTGCTAGTCACTAGTCACTAGTCACTAGCTGTCACTATCACTAGCTTCTAGGTTGGGTACTGCCCCCACTCAATAACAGTCGGATAATACTTATATTGTGGATATATTAGGCCCTTAATAGTAGCCCTATTATAGACTGTTACTGTTTGGGGGCAGTACCCAACTTCTAGGTCCTAGGTTTTGTTGGCAGCACTGACAGGTAGAAAGGCTTGAGTTGAGGCCGTGGTGTTGTAATCGAATGCACATGTCCAGTCATAAGTCATTGGAGTCCACGTGTGGCCCATTTTGTTGACGACTTCATCATATGCCTAGATGGTTGCAGCTGTACATACCAAAGTATATATTTACATGCTGAAGATACTATTGTTGAAGTCGTTTGTGTCTGCTGGCTGGTACAGCTGCGATCAAACTAGGGAGTAACACACCTAGAGTAGGAAGGAGTAGTGAAGTTTCACATTGTTCTTTCACGAAGCAGGTCTAGGACCAGGCAAAAGGCGGCAGAAGAGCCAAGAAGCCGACAGGGAACCAAAAGAGAAGTGAAGACCTCGTTACAAGAAAAGGACCTGTAGGAAGTAGGAAGGTCCAAGACTCCTTTCGGGGCTGGGAGCACTGTACATAGCAGATGTAGGACAATGTAGGAAGTCAGGTAAGTTTTTGTTCGAAAGGCGTTGTACAGACCACACAGCCCCAAGAAGGATGAGGGTAGGGTAGAATCGGGCCGAAGTTCAGCTACGAAAAAGACCCAGGTTTTCGAGACTCTAGACTCTAGGACTCTAGATTCTGCAGGCAAGCCAGGCGGGGGCAGTGATCCAACCGAGTGTGGTGAATGCTGCCAACAAGTTGTGCACCATCGTCCATGAATCGGTGCACCCGATCAAAGCCTGGCTTCACGCAAACCTGCAGATGATCATCCACGCCAGCGATTTCCTCGTGGCCTTCGTGGCATTGATGGAGAGCGGAGAGACAGCCCAAGCCAGGATGACCGGTGACGTCGGCATGGCTAGGCTGGATGCGGTGCTCAAGGCATCAAAGCGAATGGATCTATCCATGACGGCCGCAGCGAAAGCCACAGCCGACATGCCGGCGGAGTTGAGTGAGCGATACGATGCGCTCATGTACTTCGATGGCCAGGGCTTCTGTGCCGCTGCCCTTCGCAACACTGACCTGCAGGACATGGTCGATCTCAGGGTGCTTGCCCTGACCACGACCTTGACGGATCTCTGCACCGCCATCGCGAAGTGCACCAAGAATTATGGCAATCCAACAGAGGAGAGCTGGAAGTATTGCATCAACGAGGATGCGAGTTTGGAGGACGTGCTCGCCGTAGCCGCCAAGACCATCGACACCATCGACGGCCAGGAGACGGGGCGACTTTCCGATGCTTTGGCCGAGGCGCGGGGACAGACATTGTTGGGAAGACGTTCGAAACCCAACGTAGCCGCAACAGTGTCGAAGTCGTTTGTGAGTGAAGTGCACAGTGCAGGTTGACTTGATTTCATCATTGGTTCGAGACTGACTACTCTCTCGACCTGGGCTCTAGATTCTAGACTCTAGACTCTAGACGGTAGACCCCAGACAGATTCCAGATTCTACTAGAGTTACTAGAGTCGAGAAACTAGATTATACACTTAAACTTCCTTCCGACTTTCGTGTAGACAGCAGATCCATCGAGGTATATTGTGCAGTGTAGATGTGTAGATTGTATACATGTGTCCATATCTACATTGGTTCTACATTGCACACTTCGCCCAAAAGTTTGTTGGGGACATGGCATTGACAACTTCAGCTCCAGCAGCTGGGCTCCAGCATATTACGAAAGCTAACCGTGTTGACCTATGAAGTTTAGGCCAGTTTAGGCTATGGGTTCCAATTGGGTGCTGATGCTTTCGTTGGGAAATGCGAGGTTCGCGCTTCAACATGGGGCATTGTGTGGGTATTGGTTTCGGTACCGGAGTATTTATTGCACTGAGCTTGCCTAAGGGCCTAAGATTGCCCTCAGTCTTCAAACATATATCGATTTCATCAGGCCTTGGCAACCGCCAAGAGTTTCCTCGAAAAGTCCGCTTTCCAGCACACGACCCTGGTTGAGTTCATTGGAAAAGCGACGGTGATGCAGGACTCAGCGAAGGCTCTTCGCTGCGAAGCTTTGCTGTCCTTCGCTTTGCAGAGCACCAACAAGAAACGCAGATTGGCGATCGTGCGCTCCCAGCTGGGTGATGTCAGTGGCAAAGCTGTGAAAGAGTCCCTCGTCCTGCCGCAACTGTTGGCAGCGGCTCGTGCAGAGGTCAAGTGATGTCAAAACATCATTTGCCCCCGTGCGGAATGCAGTTAGCTGTATCATTCGCAGTGTCAGTTTCAGCATAAAACATGAGCTTTCAAGCTATCAGCTGCTTTGTTTTGGGCGTGTGAGCCGCATTATAACGCAGATACTTTGAACTTGCAGCTGCTGGTGATGCAATCTGCAACCCCGCCGTCAATTTTCAACAAGAGGCACTTCGGTGCTCAAGACTTTTAAGACTTCGGAGGCTGCTCTGCGGGTAAGCCCTTCAGGCCTGCTTGAGGCCCGGCTTGCTGGCAGTTCAGCCTCCAGGCTGCTCGCTCTTCAGCGGCACTTGAACACCAAACCGCTTGAGACACTTGTGCGTGGGCAGTCTTTAAAACGAAGCGGTCGAGATTCAGTGACTCAATGATTTATGAATTATGAGATGCAATCATTTGTAGTCACTATTCTGATATGATTCAGTATCTTCGATATGTTGATTTGTGTATATTGCTCGACTCGCCAGACACAGGCAGGTGTCAGATCACCGCATCATGACAGAAGCACGGTTTTACCATGAAATCTGAGACATATGCAGATTTTTACTGAGATTACGGCATTTGATTTTTGCAGAGATATTTGGTTATGACATTTCGGGCTATGCACAGATAACTTGTCAGCTCATTGTGATTCCAGTGTCGAGTGCACAGCTGAGCCGGTGATGTTGATGAGAACTTGGAGCCCAAACCAGTGGTAATGGTGATGACTACGATGGTGGTTGTGGCGCAGGTGGTGGTGCTACTACTGTTGTTGCTGCTTCTGAGACTGCTGAAGTGAGGGTGAAAGATGAGGGCGGCGGTGATGGTGGGCCGATGGGCCTGAACTGTTGACGGGCTTTTGTGGTGCCAGTTTGCTTTATGTTAGTTGCTTACCAGTCCCATCAGAATCAGTGTCAGAG